TCTGGGCGCGCTACGCCCAAACAGTTTTTTCAGAATGACGGAATATTAGATGCCTCACTGGTGTACATACTGAATCATAGAGCCAGTTACATTTAAAGTAGTCGTCTAATTTTCAAAATACCCTCATACAAGTATAGTACCCAAATTACCAAAATACCCAAAATTCAGTAAATTCTTAGAGACAGAAGAGACGAAAGTTCTTGATCTGGACGGTACTATTTGTCGATTCCCTACCTACACTAGCTTGCAGTAAGGGCTGTACAATCGTCATCTTTGTGAGACCCATTTTAGGATAACATTACAATAAGAGGTTTATACGAAGCAGTGAACTGCCCAGAAATCAAAATTTCAATTGATCTAAATCAATGATACGTGCGCGCTGCTGATCCATCCCAGCCAACCAACTTCAACAGGCTTCTTTCTTACGTAGGCATTTCCAAGGCTACTCGAGTTCTGCAGTCTCATTAGATCCAATTGTTTTTTTTTTTGTTTTCCTCTGCGCAATGTTTATTTTGACGAAGGATTCCATCTGATGGATTCTTCGCGATCGTCTTTACCTGGAAGGTTTTCTAGGTCGTACCCCGTTTTTTTTTCAAAACGGTTTTCGCATTTTACATGTCCATGGGCCATTTTTTTTCTGACCGGACCTCTGAACTGCAAAAAAGGGACGAAAGTTGGGTTCACGGTTCGATCCCCGTAGCGGCAAAGTTTTGCATTTTCCGATTGACGCTTGCGTGATGTCTCGAAATGGTACCCGCGGCTAGTAATGGATGCCATATTACCATCAGGACCATCAGTAACCCGCATAAGTAGGTTTTGCCAAAACTGATGTCAGATATGTAGGTGAGGCCTCTCGAGCTTTCCTAGTCCCTTTTCTGGCATTCAGAGAGCCGCTCAGGAAAAAAACCTTGGTACTGCATTCCATCCATGTGCCTCTAGGCGATGCAGGAAACCGTTTTCAAGAAGCTGTTGGCGGGGCACGCTCTGAAAGGAATTCCTGGTTAAAACACTCCACTATCCGATTAAAGTGACCCTCATGTCATGGTGGAGGCCTAGTGTCGTGTAGCGTATTTTTGAGCCGAGAGAAAAGACCCATCGGTTTGAGTGGGCATTGCTGCCCTACCTATCAAAGGTATTGATCCACCTGAAGTAATAGAGGAGTGAGCCGTTGAAGTTCAGAGCTTGGTTCGAGGAATTATGCCGTTAATCTTCAGGACTGTCAAGGTTTTTGGAAGATTATTCCGTTGCTATGACAATCCTCTGTCGTCACACAAGAAGTTTTAACTCCAGTAGTCAGCGAAGAAGGTGTACTGATACTTTGCCGCAAGAGCACCGTCCAGATTCCTTCATCAAGTGAGTTTGATTTTGATATCAAATTTTCTCAGAGGGAATTTGTTGGACACTTCTATGTAGATTTTCTAGGGTCCTTTTCTCAAATTTCAATGATTGTTTTAGCCAACATTTCTTCACATCGTTTACTGCACTATATGTTTGATTTGACGTTGATTTTTCCATTAGGACGCCAGGGGTTCGATTTTAATTCGGAGCCATAGATACCATTGAATTCGTCTGGTCACAAGCAGTGAATTTCTGAGTCTCCTCGAAAACGCTCATTTGCCTGTGCGGAGGGTACCCGACAGGAGGCCCGTCGCGCGGCGAGAAGGCAGAGACGCAGACGGGTCAGCGGACGAGTCGCAGCGCGTACTGTAGTGATTTCGCGTCAAGTTAATAGAATGTACTGTACGTCCTACATCGCACAGCACGCGCTGCGACTCGTCCGCTGACCGTCTGCGTCTCTGCCTTCTGCCGCGCGACGGGCCTCCTGTCAGGTATCCTGCGCGGATAGACAAGATACCAGCTATTTGGTTCTGAAGGGCATATCGTGCGAATTAAAAATAACCCTTATTTTGAACTACGCCTCTTTTTTGGCGACCAGATGATAGATAGAGAATATAGACGCACCTCGTTATTGATTATACTCTTAATAATACGCCACGCTTTTGTCTTTCATGGCAGAGGTGACTACTTGTAAGTGGTCCCGTAGAGATCTTCTCTTCACTTATAGTTCGCGCATGTGGTTTTTTCGTGATGTTTTGCTGTTCCTTTCAGGAA